CGCTTGGGGGGGGGTCGGGGGCGGGAGGGGGGGGGTGGGGAGAGGGGGTTTGGGTTGGCAGGCCCCGCGGCCGCCTGCGCGGTGCGGTTGGGAGGTGGCGGGCGGTGTGTGCCCCCCCCATCCCCGCCTCCTGTCAGGCGGAGCGGGGCGGCGGGTGGGGAGAGCTCTCTCCGGGGGCGGCTGCCTCTTGGTGGTGAGAGGCCAAGTCTGGGTCTCGCCTCACGGGAAGGTCTGGCCTCCGCTCCCCAGCTCCCAGCGGCGATGCGCGGGCAGGCGGCCTCCCCCCGGGCCGAGGAACGGCGGGGCCTGGCGCGGCTGAAGGGCCTTGTCAGCCCCCTCGTCGGGCTCGGGCGGCCTTCCCCCGGCCTGCCTGCCTCCGGGGGGGATAGTGTGTGCCTCATCGGGACTTGCTTAATTCCGTAGCCTGTTTCCGAGACTCTCCGGTGCCTGCGGGGGTAGAACGGGGCTGCAGGGTCCCTTCCCCGCCCGGGGGGGTGAGCAGCTCCCTGCTCCCACAGGGCACAAGAAGCTGTTCCTGCACTCTCCTGGGGCCTGAGAGGAATCTGGGCAGCTGGTGGGAGAGGCACTTGGAAACGGGGTTTGTTTTGTGTTGACATCCAAGATAGATGCTTTGGAAGTCGTTAAATGCTCAGTTACAGCACCTACCACCAAGGGTAGCGTCTCAGACTTTACTAGATCAAATGGGGTTTAGACTTATTTAGTCAGGAGGCACGTGTGTCATCAAATTAATCAGCGGTGCTTCAAAATTTGTGTCTAACTGCTTTGTGAAATAAAAGGTTTGTGAGGTTTTACTGTACAGCATTTGAATTTTTCAAATGATTGCATTTAAAATTCAGCAAGTACAGCTTGGAGCTTACAGGAATTTCCTTCAGCCAGTGCTCACTCCTGTCTGCTTCTGTCACCTGCAAGGTGTCCAGTGAGAAAGCACGATTGGTGTTAGTGTAAAAGAATGGCACCTACTTGTAGCAATCTGGTTGCAGATTGTTTGCAGGCATTAAGTTGTTGGTGAAATTCATAGATGATCTCCAATGTGCAATTCCCCAGTTTTACTCAATCAGGTTCCGCGTTAGCGAACAGAAGAAGATTGCAGTGACTAAGTAAGTGTATGTCATTCTCTCACCTTTAATTATAAATCAGTTCTGGTTTTAAGTCCCCAAATTGCGATCCTGTGGGGATGTACACACCTTTATGAGTTGATGCACCATCGTTTGTGCTTGAACACACAGGTATGTTAACAGTAGTGTTACAGCCTGTATTTGGGTTTTTTTCCAATAATTATAGATCAACAAGCCTGAGAAGCTGGACAAACCAGAGAGCTGTGATAATGTCAAGGTTGTTGTGCGATGCCGGCCTCTTAATGAACGAGAGAAGGCTACAGGCTACAAAATGGCAGTCAACGTAGATGAAATGAGAGGGACGATAACTGTTCATAAAACAGACTCTTCCAACGAGCCTCCCAAGACGTTCACGTTTGACACGGTGTTTGGACCAGAGAGTAAGCAGCTGGATGTCTATAATTTAACTGCAAGACCTATTATTGACTCTGTCCTGGAAGGATACAATGGTAAGTCCATTGTTGCTTTAAGTCAAGGATCCCATCTCCTAATCTTTGTGTTGGTGGAGTTCCTGCTGATCTTACTGAAGGGAGTTTCACCTTCTGAGGGCTGCAGCCCTGTGTTATTTCTGTTGTGGCCTCTAACTTAAAATAGCCCAAAGGTACTTGCTGTTCTGAGTACTCAGTGGTTGCACCTACTGTGCTCATTAACAGTGGGAGATGGGTGATGAACAAGGCCCAGCTGAGGTCAGTCAGCTGTATGTTTTTATCCTGTATCTTCTGTTTGCAAAAGATATACACTTTATCTCATTATCAGAAGTCTCGGCGGCTCTTCACTATACAGTTTCAGTACCCAGGCAGCTGCCACGGTCCTGCAGTGACTAGGTATGCATACCAGGCTTGTGCATAGCACTGCTGCATATTCTCTGCTAAACTTTGCTGTTTTAAACTAAGATGATTAGTTAAACACAGATAATGTGCCCTGCCCCACAGATAATCTGTTGCTTCCCACATCTGGGAAGAGTCTGACCATGATTTGTGTGTGTGTCTGTTATGCATGTAAATGTATTATGTAGAGGAAAGCAGATACTAGTAAGGAAGCAAATTACTGCTTTCCATAACAGTATGCTGTAAACAACAATGGATTACAACATTTTTTTAAAGGTTTGTAAAATGCCTAGTAAGCTTTTGTGCTAACACACCCAGGTTTCAGCTGATGAAAGTTCATGGTTCAGAAATTAATGGTTTAAAGCTGCACCAGGGGAGGTTTAGGCTGGAAATTAGGAAGCATTTCTTTACCAAGAGGGTGGAACAGGCTTCCTGGAGAGGTGATCGGTGCCGAGGGTGGAACAGGCTTCCTGGAGAGGTGATTGGTGCCCCAAGTCTGTCAGTGTTTACGAGGCATTCAGACAATGCCTTTAACAACATGCTTTAACTTTTGGTCAGTCCTAAATTGGTCAGACAGTCGGACTTCTTTTGGTCAGTCCTAAATTGGTCAGGCAGTCGGACTCAGTGATCATTGTAGGTCCCTTCCAACTGAAATAGTCTATTCAGCTTTTTCCAAACTGTAGTGTTAGTAGCTTGACAAGGAAAACTTGAGTTTCCGGCAGTGCTAGGCTAAACTTAAGAACTAGTATATTTCTGGAGTACTGGAGTCTGGGATCTCAGTAAATTTTCTGGATGCCTTCTTGTGCAGGCTAATTATTTAGTCCAAATTGTAGCTGCAGGTTCAGAACTGGGCTTGTGCTGTGGCCTGTGCTGTAGAAGCCTCACACTGTTTCTGCTGTGGCTTAGAGCACTACCAGTAGTTGGTTTTGCAGCTGGTATATAATCATCTTCCTCTAATTGACCATGTTATTAATTGGGCTTGCCTTAATTATTTGTGTGTGAGACTTAGCTGTACTAGCATTTCATACTTTAATCAATCTGCACAGTTAAAACAAGCTGACTTTTCTTAACTATCTGGCAGGCTGGAGGAAGCAGTGCCTCAGCCCTGTTTGCTCTGGTTGTCCAGCATTTCTGTTGCTCCTGGCCTTGTACAGTGTTTACTGGAGTGGGTGGGAAATTTCAGCTCCTTTAAAAATAAAGGTGTTTAGTGCTCTCAGGCTAAGAAGGGGGGAAGTAAAACTGCAGTTAGCAACTTCTTACAACTTGTTAATATATTTTTCTTATCCTCCAGGTACTATTTTTGCATATGGGCAGACTGGAACAGGCAAAACTTTCACCATGGAAGGGGTCCGAGCAGTTCCTGAGCTTAGAGGCATCATTCCCAATTCCTTTGCCCATATATTTGGTCACATTGCCAAGGCAGAGGGGGATACAAGGTAAACAGCTTCTCTTCAGTGTTTCTGTCTTTTGTCTGTCCATCTGTAGTAGGAGCCTGACCTTGACAATGGAGACTGAAAGGGTACTTCTGGCCCTACCTGAAAGTATTCCTACTTAGGCAGTTCTTGACAGGTAGCAGGATTGTGTTGGACTATCACTGCATCTTCTTTGCACTCTGTGGTTGTGTTTGTTGGACTAAGAAAGCTGCCCAACTGTTTGTCCTCAGGTTTTTAGTCCGTGTGTCTTACCTGGAAATTTACAATGAAGAAGTGCGGGACCTGCTGGGAAAAGACCAGACACAGAGATTAGAGGTGAGCCTGCCCTTCTGAATGTGATTGTTTTAAATCAGTGAGCAATATTGTGTTTTAAAGACCAGAGAAGCACTCGAAGGGAAGTGGGAGGTTGGGCTGCTCAGCACATGTATGGTTTCCTTTAACATACTGGACAGCAATACTGACTCCTCTGAATCCTTTCCTCTTGGTCAGCTGTGTAGTGAGAAACTGGCTGTTCTATCTCAGTCAGTTTGGTGCCTGCAATTCTACCCCAAAGAACCCTCAGCAGCCTTTCTAGGAATTGGAGACTGAGATTTGAAGTCACTATTTCCCACCAGGGAAAACCAGTAGAATATTGTCCTGCATGAGTTGGTTCCTTAGCTGCTCTGACTCTGAGTGTTGGGGTGTTTTATGTGCAAACCAGAACCTGGAGGAGTAAATTTGAAATTTGCTTTCGGGGATCTCCTAAGGATGCTCAGTATAAACTGTTTCTCTCTTAGGTTAAAGAGAGACCTGATGTGGGAGTTTATATCAAAGACCTTTCAGCTTATGTCGTAAACAATGCAGATGATATGGACAGAATCATGACTCTGGGCCACAAGAACCGTACGTAGCCTTGCTGTGGGCAGGTTTATAGCTCAGACAGAACACAGGTCTGGTGATGAGAGCACAGTAAGAGATCCTAGTCCTAGTGCTGGAAAGGTTGTTCAGCTGAGCAGGGCAAAAAGGTATCTCCTCCCAAACCCCTTCTGTGCAGGAGGAGGTGATGAAGGCTGTGCCTCCCATATTGGCCACTGCCAGTGGGGGAAACAGCAAAGGGGAGGACATGATGAGGGCAGCCAGTGTTGTCAGAGCTACTAGTGTGTGTCTTGGTCCTTTCCCTCTTCAGCTCTGATCAGGATGGGCAGCAGCTAGCACTGTGCTGGGAGTGGGAAGTGGTTTGTTTTCGCGTTCTTCATAAAGCTCAGATCTTTTATGACCTAAAGTCCTGACTGCTCTTGCTCTTGGCAGGGATTGCTGTGTTCTTATTTCTCAAAATACAGCTGTTTTCAGGGATCAGCTGTGAATGCCTTTAGGCTACTGATCTCTGTAGTGTTAAAACAGGTGAGAACTACTCCTGCTCTTGGGATGGGAGTCTGTGGTTGACTTAGACTTAAAGTGGCTGTAACACTTCTGCTAGTCTGGATTGGAGGTGTGTTGCAGCTTCAGTACCCAAGAACACAGTTTGTGCTGAATCTGAGCATCCCTCTTCCATCTTCTGAGAAACAGGGTTGGGTAAAGAGGCGGGGATAAGTCTCCTTTGAGAGCAGGAAGAGTGTTAGAGGAGTGTGTGATGAATTCTGAAGACGACATTGCTTTTCCTCTCTATTAAAAGGTTCTGTTGGTGCCACAAACATGAATGAGCACAGCTCCCGTTCGCACGCCATCTTCACCATCACCATTGAGTGCAGTGAGAAGGGGGTGGATGGAAACATGCACGTGCGCATGGGCAAACTGCACCTCGTCGATCTCGCTGTAAGTAGGGCTTGTGAGGTCTGTCCTAAGGTGTGGTGGGCACCTCTGCTCATGGGTGTGCTGTTGAAGGTGCAGTAAAGGGCACGTCCCATATTCCACAGCTAAAGCCCAGGCTTCTGTTTGACACTTGTCTTCTATGAAGTGTTCACTCGGGGCCTGAAATCAGAGGTGTTCCAGGAAGAGTCTTTAGAGAAGCTAGAGCCTGTCCCAGTATAAGGGCTCTCTTCTATAAATTAATAATTAAATGGATAAATTACATTGGAAAGAGCTCTCTGGACAGAACAACTGGGTCTTTGCAAGAGTTTTTGTGGGTTTCTTTTTAGAGGGTTGTGACCGTGTAGTGCATCACTTGCAAATTTGCTCCCTCTGTTGCTCACTTTGAACCAATGTAATTGTGCTGTTAAAATGTGTCTTCAGCCCAAACTTTACACAGGAGTATCTTTCCTTGGAGAAGATGCAGGAAAGGGGAGACTACAGGCATACAGTATCTGCATGTTAACTTTATTTATATGTTGCATGTTTTAGGTTACTCTATGAAACTCTTTGAAGTAGTTGCAGTGTTGCTTTTCTCCCTTGATCTACTGTTAGGAAAGGCTGGAGATGGTGCTTAGCAGCTCCAGCTGAGGTGCCCTGTAACTGCTGACGTGCTTCTCATAATATTTTTTGTTCATGGGGACAAAAATGTCCACTTTCCTACCTACATTATCATTGAGGCCTGTTTGACTTGTCTCTTTAAGGGTACTTGGCCAGATTCTGTAGTGATTGATGAGGTTAGTGGCACATCTGCTAGGGTGTAGCTGATCCTATTTGGAGCAGGGAGAGGTATTAGGAGATGTGTTGTAACTCCTGCTGCTTCTTGGTCCTTTCCCAGGGTTCTGAAAGGCAGGCGAAAACTGGGGCCACGGGGCAGCGCCTGAAGGAAGCCACGAAGATCAACCTCTCTCTTTCCACCCTGGGGAACGTCATCTCTGCGCTGGTGGATGGCAAGAGCACCCACGTGCCCTACCGCAACTCCAAACTCACGCGGCTCCTTCAGGATTCCCTGGGGGGCAACTCCAAAACCATGATGGTAAGCTGAGAGATGCCCTTTCCAGTGCCAGCTGTCGAGGTGCATTTTTACAGGCACAGCATAGTGACTCTGCCACGAGAACAGCCTGGCATTTAACTCTTAGTTTCAGAGCTGTTTGTAGCTCAGAACTTTTAATAAGTTTTTTTTCTATATTTTCTCTTTGCCTCTGTACAGATGAAGTTCTAAACACAGTGCAAATGTACACATGTGTGTAAGATCTGGGTAAAAGCTGTACTTGGGTATCCAAAAGCAGCTTTGGTGTAGAAGCAGCAGGAAAGCTTGGGAAAGAGTAGCAGTGTGAGATTAGCAGAGCTGGAGATGGGTCCCTGAAGTTACTTGTAGGGGCTCTGACACTGTCCCTCAGTAACTGGGTTTTCTGTGTGTCCCAGTGTGCAAACATTGGACCAGCAGACTACAACTACGATGAGACTATCAGCACTCTGAGGTACGCAAACCGAGCCAAGAACATCAAAAACAAGGCCAGGATTAATGAAGATCCCAAGGATGCTTTGCTTCGCCAGTTTCAAAAAGAAATTGAAGAGCTTAAGAAAAAGCTGGAAGAAGGTGAGATTCCCCTTCCTCCTTTCTCTGCTCCGATGCTTGTTCTGTTTGAGTGGGAACATTCTTTGCTATTTGAAGATGTGACATGAGTTTGGTAGCTGGTGTGGGTTGGTGTCCTGGCTTTGTTTGCCCTGCTGGGTTCCAGGAGCTGTGTCCCAAGGACAGCAGGGTGCTGGTGGTGGCCCAGCAGTGGCTCTGTCCTCTAGGTGGCACTTGGCCCTCAGATAAGCGATGGCACTGGGCTGAGCTGGTGTGTCAGGGCTTGCCTGTGGAGCAGGAGGGCTCTGGGCACGGTGTAGGGAGTTAAAATGTGCTGTAACAGAAAGTCAGATGTTTTGTGTGTTTGAGGAGGGGTGCATTTTTCAGGAGGAATTTTGTGTGTTTGAGGAGGGGTGCATTTTTCGGGAGGAAAATCATAGAATCATAGAATCATTCAGGTTGGAAAAGACCCTTGGGATCATTGAGTCCAACCATCTACCCTACTCTACCAAGTCCTCCCCTACACCATATCCCTCAGTACTGCATCTAAATGAACTAAATTTGTGGAGCTAGGACTGGAGCTGACTTCCAAACAATGTGCAGAGAAACAAGAAGCTTCTTTAAGCCCTGTAGCTTTGTGGCCTTGCAACACTATTAGCCCATCAGCTGTAGCTTTGTGGCCTTGCAACACTATTAGTCCAATTCCAAACAATGTGCAGAGAAACAAGAAGCTTCTTTAAGCCCTGTAGCTTTGTGGCCTTGCAACACTATTAGCCCATCAGCATCGAGGGAGCTTCCTGAGCAGTGACCTTGGCCCACCATCTCTCCAGAGAGATGCCTGTGGCACAGAACAGCTGGAGCAGTCACTCCAAACTTGCTGCTGGGAGCCTGCTGTTCCTGATGGGGGCAGGAAATGGTCGGGAGCTCCCTTCAAGGAGTGGGAACTGGGTGTAGGTGTTTCATCCTTGGTGAGCTGAGGGTGGGTGGCTTAAATTTTAGACTAAGCTACAGAACAAACAGTCTTATGTTTGTTACTGGGAGGGTGGGATGTTAAATGTTGGATTCTATTCAGTTTGGTTTCCAAACTCTGCCTGAAACATCTGAGCAGAGTGTCCATGATGGCAACAGTAATAAACATCTGTGGAACTGGACATTTTTCTCAGTTAACAGCCCTCTAACTTGATGTACACAAGTGGCTGATTAAGTAGCAAGTCTGTGTGAACTTCGTTCATGGAGACATCCTGCTGTGAAAACTTTGTAGCTTAATGCCTCAGCAGTGCAAGGATGCTTTATTTCTCATGAAAAGCACCCACTTGAGCTTTAATGTATACACACTGACCTCACAGCATTAAACTGCTTATCTTGATTTTCCTTACAGTTCCTGAGCCATGGCAAGCTGTCTTGTCTGCTCAGCAGTTAATGACTTCTGCAGGTCGGACACTGCTGGCTTTGGATGAGTGCTGCTGTCACAGCAACAAACTGAACAAGCACACTCTTTTCTTCTAGGGGAAGAGATATCTGGTTCTGAAAGCAGTGATTCTGAAGAGGAGGAAGAAGATGACGAAGGGGAGATTGGAGAGGATGGGGAGAAACGGAAGAAACGGCGGGGTAAGGCAGTAGAGACTCCTGTCAGTGCCACCAGTCTCCTCTCATCCAGGAGCTGGTGTCAGAAACTGTAGCTGGAGCCAGGTGGGGAAAAGTGGAGGTGTAGAGCTGCCCTACTGCCGCTGCAATTATCATGCCTCTCCTAGAAACGAAGCTGTTTGGTGCCCTCTCTGTAGATGGACAGCTCTGAACCTGTGTAGTATCTGCTTCCACTTGGGTAGCTGTGCTTGTGGTGACATCCTCTTTTGTGGTGGCTCCCTGGTTGCCGCAAGGTGGCTGTGTATGGCTTGTGTCTGGTGGTGTGGAACTTCCCCTGCTCACAGAGGTGGGAGGAAGAAGGCACCAAAGACCAATGGTAGGCAGATGTGGTTTTTTTTATAACCATGGGAATGGTTGGAGGGGAATTCTGGCTGTGGTTTAGGCAAAGGATTCATCTGTCTTATGGATGTTCAGTAATTGACTCTTCTGGTTGATGCTGATAAAGGAAAAACTTGACTTTTGGGTGTCTTTGTGCAAGCTGAAAAGCTGAATGGGAGCTGCATGTCCCTTGTTTTGGGGCACTGGAAATCCCGTGGTGAAGTTTGCTTTGTTCTACACCAGTGTTAAGCTTCTGTGTAACACCTAACCCCCAGGGGATGTTGCTGAGCCTAGAACTGCAGGTCACCATGTGCCATGGGATGCTGTGGCTCCCAAGGATCTTGCTATGCCCCAAAAACCTCTCTGATATTTCTTCATGGGGAGTAGAGAAGTCAAGCCCAGTGCTACACCTCAACTTCCAGCTTCTCTAGTAAATTAATTTTGACATTCAAACGGCCTTCATGTCCTGATACACCCACATTTGGTTAAAAATTCCTTTTAAAGAGTTCTTGCTTTAGATACTCTCTTCATTTTGATATGTCCAAGTAGAGTCGTAGTCATCTCTCTTCATTTTGATATGTCCAAGTAGAGTTGTAGTCATAACAACTTTTACTTCATTTTTCACCTTTTGGTAATTTCTAGAAGCAAAAAGGTTGACCGCTGTCTCCATCAAGAACCAGGTCCTGCCCAAATCTCCTCCCAAGAGGAGACAGCCTTCAAAATGCTGCTTGAAAGGAGTAGAGGGCAAATAACTGTGACTCACTCAACTTCCAAACAAGCTCCTCCGAGTTCCCCAAGGGAGGGTGCTGCTCAGTAACTCCCCCTGTGCAAGCTGGCTCTGCCTTCCAGAGGGAAAAGGGCACATAAGACTGGAAAGGACTCCTGGTCGCTGAATCCTCTGCTACTGCAGATATCCACAGCCTTCTCCACTATGATCTGGTGTTCTGTGCTGTTGCTTGACACGGGAGCTGCCTTGGCATGTTGGTTTAAGCTGTAGGCTGGTTCAGATGGGTTTTAACTGAAGCGTCTTTCTGAGCATGTGATTTTGTGCTGGGAGATGGTGGCTTTGCGAGCTGAGTCTGGGAGGGATCCGAGCAAATGCTTCCTAATGGGAACTTGTGCCTTTTTTGAACGAGGTTGCTGACCCTTTTGGGTGTCTTTCCTTTAGAACTAACTTCCCATCTGCATGTTTCTTCCTCTCTGGGTTTTTCTGTGGGACGCATTTCTGTTTTCCAGGCAGTAGCAGCAGCAGTAGTTCAGACTCCACATGCTCTGTCATAGAGAAACCTCTGGATAAGTCCTTCACTAGTGAGTGGGAGCTCTTAAGTCCTTTAAGCTTTGGCCTTTCCATAATCTGCACACTCCATTTTGCAATGCTGCACTCTTCCCCGCTGTGTCTGTTGGAAAGATCAACCTGAACTTGTAACTCTGCTAAAGCATGCCTTTTCCTTTGCTGCTTCCACGCTTGAAACAGTTGGTCAATGTGCTCGTTGTTAGCCAGGTATGTGAGAGAGAATCGAGAAGTAATAGGTTAAAAAAAAACCTGTTTGCAATTTCTGTGTTAAACACTCCCTCTAAAATATCAGGAAAAAGTCTGAGCTAACTTTTCTTTATGGGAGTTGCTACAATATGAGTTCATAAAAAGGACAGTCAGACAGGTGAAATGGGTTGTGCTGTGTTATATTGGACTCTATCTTCTCAAAATTAACTTTGGAGAAAATGGATGGAACAGTCAACAATCAAACAGCACATGGTTTATACTTGCAAAGAAAACATGGTAATACTTGGTGGGTTTGCTTTTTTTTTTTGGCAGGTAATTAAAAAAAATCTTCAGTGGTGGCTGGGGTTTAACCGCCCCGTGGCATTAAGTTCTTGATCACTGGAGGACTTAACTCAGAGGAATAAGGGGGTCTAGATTTTGGTCTAACAGTGAGGAAAATCTGAGCTGCTCCTGGTCTGAGAGGGGGCTCTGGGCCTTTAGAAACTCCACAGTCAGTTAGTAATGACTGAAGAAATAAATCACATCTCAGAACTTGGCTTGTAGGGCCTTCACCCACTGTCGTGGTTATGCTGTATAGATGCAGTCTGCTCTCCTTCCTCTGGGAGAGAGTCTGTAAACTCCTGCTGTATAGTTCAATCACTAATTTTTACCAGTTATGTTAGTGGAAAGCATCAGCTCAGAGAAAGGTGTGTGAACTGGTTAAGAAGGATCACAACCTAAGGGAGACCTTTGGTGGGTCTCATGATGGTAGGCTTGGGATCTGCTTGCTTCAAACGTGCTCTCAAAGCTTGCTTGAAACCTGAGTATTTTATTTGGATGAGGACAGTTAATAGCAAACTGCTGCTGTGGCAGTGGGTGGCTGAGTCCATCTCCTGCATGTTTGGAGACAGCTCTGCAGTGGAAGTGGCGCTGGGTGCTGAGGAGAAGCGTGGCTCTCTGTGGTTTGGGATATTAACTGTCCTCAAGCGTGATGCTTTTGCATGTGGTGTCTTTCATTATCCCTTTCCTGCCCTGCCTTTTTTGCTGCTCTTGCTTGAATAACCAAAACTGGCTATATACCTCTATGGAAGCATCAGTTACTGCAAATTAACCTACTAATACCCTGTGTAATTAAATGGAGGAATCTTGTGTTGAGACTCCCTGTGTGTAACTGTCATGTATCTTGCAAAGAATTGGCCTGGAAACTTGATTAAAACTTAGAACAAGTCTTCTGTATGCTAATATTTCACAGGTAGTATAACAGAATTGGCTTTCTTGGGTGGGGGGGAGCATTAAGTCTCTTATACAAGAAGAAATCTACTCTCTTTAATTGTTTCTTAGGGCATGATTTTTGCGGCAGGCTCCTAATGTTACATTTAGATTCTGCATTGCATTGAATGGGCAGAAGAATGCAAGAGTGAGCTGAAGATTATCCTGGTTATGCAAAGCACTCTGAAGTACAGAAACTTTCTCTGCTTTAGCATAAAATCAAGATGGATTATTGTTTGCTGTAATGGAGTGGTCTTTTTAGTTATGATTGTCCTGTGTTTTCTACTCTAGAAACATTCATATAAAATTAATGGTCATTCTGATGCTAATAATCTTTGTCCAAAATGATCAAAGCAATAATATATTTTCTTTCCTCCTCTTTTCATGCATATGCTGCCTCTCTGCGATTTGCTTTCCACTTCCTCCTAATACAAGATCAAGCAGGTTGGTGTCATTGATTTCCACCTCCTTATAATGCAATTGCAGAGCTTGTGAAAGGGTCTTACAGCTTGGTTTAGTTCAGCTTTTTATCCAAAACTGAGAATACAGATGATGAGCTTTGTATAGTGCTTTCAGAAAGCTTCTTGCTCAGGCTAATTAGAGAAATTTTTTTACCACAAATCCAGAAATAAGTGCCTATTACATGATCCCAAAGTTTAGCAGATGGAAATTAAGATATAAACTGTTTGCTCTAGTACTGAAGTTCTTACCTTGTACAAAGCTAATTCTCTTGTGTGTGTGAACAAAAATGTATACAGAGGTGCACATGTGCACCCGTGTTTATAAACACAGTGCATTTTGTCTGTTAGAGGTCAGATACATATCTAAATAAAGCTGAATGTCACAAACTGGAGGGAAGGGAATCCTTTTACTGAACTACTTCCTTCTGACCATATGCATTATGTCACTGAAAAGCAGTCCCTCGACAGTCAATGGCTTCTGATAGTTTCTAGGCATCTGGATTCTACGGGGGGTTTTCTTCATGTGTGGAGAAGAGCAAAACAAGAAAATGAAGGATTCATGTGTAGTGAATAAAGGGAGATCTAGGACTTGTGGAAGACTGAGGAAATGGATGTAGGCTGGGCTCTGGCTCACTCTCTAAATGACATCCAAGGATCTCTTTGTTCATCTGCCTTGGGCACCTTGGGATTACAATGAAAATTGACTCAAGACTGGCAGAGTGACTTCCCAGAGCAGCAGCTTTATCCTTTGTTTCAAAATCACAAATGTTTGGGACCAACCCTTCAGGCTGATAAATTCAATGAGTTTCTCAATGGCCACTCACATTTCATGGAGGGTTACAAAGGATCTGGTTTGCTGTGGTTGTAGTTTAAGTTGTAAAGACACAGCTGATAAATCACAGCAAACCTCAGTACCTTCAAATCTGTGGGTTGTCACTGTATATAGGTCGAATACCATCATAAAGTTCCTTTAATTGCCTGGGTTTCATAGGGTTGGTCTGAATTTCCCTAGTCTCTGTATTTTCATAGTGTGTCCTTCAAATAGCTACGTGCTGATTTTGTGAAGGGTAAACCCGTAAGGGCTTCTGCAAATTTCAGATTAGCATCCCCACCACACCCCTCCTTTGCTGCCCATGGGGTGTGGTGGGGATGCTAATCTGAAATTTGAGTATGTAACCCTGGTAGTTTTAACTCTTATTGCTGTAGGTCAACTCAGTCTTCTCTTTTCCTTCGCTTGGCTTGATCTGCATAGTTAGAAGATCTGAGTTTCCAGCTCAGACTTCTCTCTGGGCAGTGTTCCTTCTCCAAGTGTTCTTCATATTTTTTTCTATTTTGGGGGCATAATGTTATCATGTTAGTTACATAGCCTTCCTTCTCTGTAGGAACTGGTAACAACTGGTCAATGTTAAAATGGGATTTGAAAGACCTGAGTTGTGCCCAGCTTGGAGCTGACATTAACTTAATTTTTGTTAAATGCAATTATTGAATCTAAACTTGGAAAAAATGCTGCGATACAGAGGCTGTCTTATTTTTCTGATTTGTTTTCCCTATCTCTTCCAAAGGCAAAAAGAAAGTTTCCCCTGATAAGATGGTAGAGATGCAAGCAAAGATTGAAGAGGAGAGAAAAGCTCTTGAAACTAAGCTTGATATGGAAGAAGAAGAAAGAAATAAAGCCAGAGCTGAACTGGAGAAGAGAGAAAAAGACTTGCTTAAAGCTCAGTGAGTATCCTGCTCTGAGCAGGTTGTGTGGGTTTTCCCTTCCTTAATCTCTAATTTGGTTATGGATATTTGGAGGTGCCTGGTGAGGTACCTGTCAAACTCTGTATAAACTGAACATCAGCTCTTGCTATTATCAAAGTGAACGAGGAGCTTACTCGGCTTTCAGAGTTTAGAGCAGATGGAAAAGACAAACTTTATCCTTTTGCCACTTCTTTCTTCTCTTAACTTTATCTAATTGTGCAAGATAGCCTAGAAGCAGATGAGTCCTCCCAACCCTGGAGACATATGGAGAGCAGCAGTACTGCTGTACTGCTTGGTCAGTGGGCAGTAGCTGTGCAGATGCCAGGTTTCCTGCAGCACACTGTCACTTTGGGTGTTGGGGTTCTCCATCCTGGAGCTGAGAAGCTGCTGAGATCCCACTGGCCTGTGCAGATAGGACAGTCCTGCTGTCAGAGCCTGCTCCAGCAGCAGCCAGTGTTCCTGCTTTGCACCTCAGCTGCCCTTTTTTGATCTCTGCTCACACCCTTCCATTTCTGCAGCTGCCTCTGGGCATCAGTGATGGGGGGTACCTTGGGGAGCCCAGTAGTATCACTGGGGACCTGCAGCCCCTCACAGAGGGGACTTGCAGCAGAAGAGACTTCTCTTCTGACCTGGTTTTGCTTGTGAGACAGCGATGGGAGCTGGAGCTCTCGGGGAACTCCCTGCATTCACTTGCACTGCCTCACCCCCGCTTAAACCCTTGGCAGCCAGACAAGTTTTTCCAGCCCTGTGAATGCTGTCTGGGCTGTAAAACTGAGCTGGACCTGCTGCCCTGCCAGCACTGTAGGACAAAGTTTTACACTTACCTGTCTCTCTAGACAAGAGCACCAGTCCCTCTTGGAGAAACTGTCTGCGCTGGAGAAGAAGGTGATTGTAGGAGGAGTGGACTTGCTGGCAAAAGCAGAGGAGCAAGAGAAGCTGCTGGAAGAATCAAATATGGAACTGGAAGAACGAAGGAAGAGAGCGGAACAGCTTCGCAAGGAGCTGGAGGAGAAGGAGGTGGGGTTAAATGCTGTGGCTGGCTGAAAACAGCACTGTCGTGTGCCTTGGCATTGCTGGTGTGGATGGAACATGGATCTGCTCTAAAAGCATGGCAGAAGCTGAGTGCTTCAGAGACCACACGTTGGCAGTGTGATTGCTGTTGGTCTGAGCCAGCCCTTGGCAAATGCTTTGTTTTGTTCAAGTAGTTTCTCCTCTTGTTCATACTATTGCTGACAGTTTCTTTGCTTGTGTTAATGTGTGGATGTCTCTGCTAAATTTTGCACACAGCAAGAACGCTTGGACATCGAGGAGAAGTACACCAGCCTCCAGGAAGAAGCACAAGGAAAAACCAAGAAGCTGAAGAAAGTTTGGACCATGCTTATGGCTGCAAAATCAGAGGTTAGTGTCTGAAATCCTCTGCTTGTGGTGACAGGAAGGACTGTGGCTGGGAAGGGTAAGGCATCAGCTTAGTAATGCTGGAAGAAGTGCCATACATCTAGAAATGTCTTTCTGTGGTCCATCATGTAATTCAAAAAGATCTAGTTAAGTCTGGTGTCAGAGCTTCGCAGGGGCATGTTGTGGAGCTTTTCCCCAAGCTGGACTGTGAGACCCTGAGATCCAGAACTTCACAGAAAAACGCTGGTTATTTCTGAAATAAAAGTTGTTTGCTGGTGGCTTCATCTCCTGCTTTGCAGCAGCCCAAGTGCTCCTCTGCTCTTACCTGTCTGTCCTTTCTGCCGGTTGTCCTCTGTCTCTTCCTCAGTCACACTGGATCGATGTATCCTTTTGCTGGTATCCAGAGTTCCTGCTCCATCAAAAGTGCATTTTGTCTTTGGGATCAGGGACTTTCCTTGAAATCTTGCCAGGGATATAATTTGTCTGCACACTCTTCATCTGCTCTTAGCTGGTGCAGAGCTTGGGTTGGCACAAGGCCACTTTTGGTTTTATGAAACTGAGAACCTAATGCTATTTTCAGCTATCTCTGAGCTGGAACGTTTCAGAGGGTTTATTCTTCAGAGATAAATATTCTAGTACTTATAACCAGAGTTTGCTTTAGCTTCTATTCTAGTACTTATAACCAGAGTTTGCTTTGGCTTCCTAAAACTCTCATATAGGCAGAAGATTGTTCTTTTTTAGGCTGTTACCGTGTCTTAAGCTAGCTCTGCTGCCTCTCAAATGCCTGCTTTGTCTTCAGATGGCAGATCTGCAACAAGAGCATCAGAGGGAGATCGAGGGATTACTAGAGAATATTCGGCAGCTGAGCAGGGAGCTTCGCCTTCAGATGCTCATCATAGACAACTTCATCCCACAGGACTACCAGGTAAAGACAACCTGAGGCTGAGGATGTAGACACGGTGTGCTGGGCCCTCTGGCTTTATTTCTGTCCAAAGAAATGGGATGAGTTGCCTTCTTTTCCCTTTGTGAGGCTTGGAGAGTGAACTGATTGACACTTGGCTGCTGAGTTGGTGTGTGGTGTTTGCTGTGACTGGGTTGCATTCCTGGGTCTGTGCTGTTATGTGGATTGTTAGAACCAGGTGATGTTAAAATAAGAAATGATGCTTTTGTCAAGTGCCTCTTGTAACCTGGTGGATTTCTGCTTGAAGCTCTGTTGGAAGATGATCAGAGTTAGTGGGTGCATTTGGCTTCAAAACCAAAAAAAGGTGTGAATAATGAATGCAGAGTGGCTTTGGTGTGTTTCTCAGGGATTCTGGTAACTTTGGTTATAATTCCATGGTTATGGCATCTGTTTAGGGGCAGCAGGGTAGAATGTGTCGGGGTTGTAAGTGGAGGGCTATACTAATCTTGATTTTCTCACAGCATGTTTTCCTAATAATTTTAAAAAACATTTAAGGTCACATGTATTTAACCGATACATTCACTCTGTGCCCACGTCCGGATCTGTTCAAAACCTCTTTTTTCCACTGTGCTTGAAGTTTTGCTTGCTGATGTCAGATATTAATACAAAGTAGTAAGACTGAACTTGGAACTCTTCACTTCTTGTTTTCCTTATGACCCCAATATCCAGAAAGCTCATTATGAGCTTAAATATGGTGCATGCTCTCTCTTCCCCTCAATCTTGCATTTTTTTTTTCTGTATTACAGTGTGTGTTTGTTGCTATCCTGATGGCATTGGCATAATGGGAAACCCATGTTTTAGTGGGAGCTCCAACACATGCAATTTGGGACTGGTATTTTTCTCTTCTGTAGCCTTCAGAGTGTAGACAGGGGGTTTTGAACGTGGTATGTCTGTCCTGATAAAACAACTTGGAATGGTCAAGGCTCTTCTTACGCAGCTTGTCCAGGCCTTTAAGGATGGATCTTCTGAAAAATGCATCTGGAATGTGGAGTGTGTGAGTCTGTAACAATTACTGTTCTCGTTTATTTCTAGGAGATGATTGAAAACTACGTTCACTGGAACGAAGACATTGGAGAATGGCAGCTGGTAAGGCACCCTCCTGGCTGCTGGGCAGGCTCTTGTTAGCACAGGCTTCTGAGGGGTTCAGTCCAGCCCAGAAGTAAATGGCTAAAGCTGCAGCCAGTGTTACTGTGCACAGCAGGCTTCACTAACAGACTTTTCTTTCTTTCAGAAATGCGTTGCGTATACAGGGAACAACATGAGGAAGCAGACACCTGTCCTGGATAAAAAAGAGAAAGATGTGAGTGACCCTTAATAATCATGTATTGAACTGGGCAGGTCTGAGCTCTGCTCCCAGACCTGCTGCTGCCTATTTATGGGGACACTGCCCCATTTCAGTTTTGTTGGGTTTTTTTGATAGATGAGTCTTTCTAGTGTTACAAAGGCGTTGTTGATCGGTGTGTAAAAAGATTCTGACATTTTTGTTTTGTGGGTTTTTTTGTTTGGGTTTTTTTTAGCCCTTTGAAGTGGACCTTTCCCATGTTTACCTGGCGTACACTGAAGAAAGCTTGAGGCAATCTCTGATGAAGCTGGAGAGGCCGAGAACTTCAAAAGGAAGATCCAGGCCCAAGACGGGTAGAAGGTGAAGAACTTTGGGGTATTTATATGTAATGGGGGATTTACCCAAGGGAAGGCTTAAGTTTGTGCATGCAAACTTACTGTAAGTCTTCAAACACTTGCTTAACAAGAAGACAAAATTCTGCACGGTATCAAGTTTACCGGTGCCAGGTGTGAGAGAACCAAGCTGAAATCTCTCTTACAGTAAGATGTTGTCCAGAAAGACTTGTCTGGGAATTTTTCTGATGCCCTTTTGCTGAATTCCCCTCTTTTGGCTTCTTTATTTTCCTGTGTTCTGTGGTTCAGTTTATCATCTGAGGCATCAACAGTGCATCTGCTGTTATTTCTGGAAAGTAACCTGCTGTTGGGGGAGATTTCAACAGGGGTTTTCTTGGCTGTTTTTGTTTGGTGGAAGAGTAACAGTGTGTAGTTTTGACTTGAAATGTGGCTGGTCCCTGCCTTTCCTCGACAGCGTAATGATGTGTGTGTGGTGTTATTTTTCCCTTTCCCCTCTCCAAACAGAAAACGTTCAGCAAAGCCAGGAGCCGTCATTGACTCTCTGCTGCAGTAGGTGTGACCTGTCAGAATTGCCGTAAAAAAATAATCAGTGAGTGTGTAAGACTTGCCCAGAATTTGGAATTCAAGAGATGGCACAGTTTGACATGGCTGTAAAATCCATGCCTTGCTGGTATGGAGCTTTATTTTAAAAAGAAATATGTATTTTTCCTTAGTTGCCCGTATATTGTATGTTATATTAACATAATATTAAACTGGTATATAAGATGGTTGTGAAATTCCATGTGTTAAACGTGTTGTGCAGGGAAACTATCGTCAGCAATCCTTGTTGAAATGTATAGAAAATAAGGGTTCTAGATGTGTGTTTAAGTGCTATAGCAGTGTTAGCTCAAAACGGTTGATGAAATCCTACAATTTAAGGCTGGTAAATCTGATTTATGCCCTGCTTTGCACAGAACTGGCAGCTTTCACTATTGTCCTCTGTTGCACTGATCTGTGTTTGAATGTGGTCGCTGCGAACCTTTGAATTAAGAGCATCAAACCCTTTTATTTAAATATTCCTCACTGTGGCTATTAACCTGATGGCCTTATGTATCAAATACACGGTCCTTTCCCCTCCGTTTGCCGTTCAAAGGAAGTAGTTGAGCAGTGGAGACACAAACTACAAAAGTCTGAGGCTTCTGGGAAGGGGCCATGCTCTGTTTAAGTGCAACAGAAAACATGTGTGTCTTAGTGCTTTTCTTTTTGGCTCTTTGGTGTGATCTGCTGGCACTGGGCAGAGTGAGGCCTTTGAGGCAAAGGCAAAAGAGTGCGCTTTTCCCTCCTTTTAAAGCTGTGTTGCAGCATTGCTTTGGCTGCTTTTTATGCTTCTGAGCTAGATTTTTTTTAAATATATGTGAATTGGTTTATAATCTGAACAGCGGAGATTAATGAAGGGGAATGCTGTAATGCTGGAACTTGGCTTCAGCCTTTGGGACTGTGAGCGTTATGGCTCCATTTTCCTCATCCCTGGCTACCAGGGCACTGGGTGAGTGCTCTAAACTGAGGGTGGATTTGATTTTCCTATATTTAAATGGGCATGAATTGCCTTATTTTCCCAGAACGGTAACATCCCCTGAAATAACTGATGCTGTTTGCGTTCCTGTGTAGATTGTATCATCTCGGGTTTCTGGCTCTGTTGATAACCATTGATTTGTGGTGGCTGCTCTTTTCTTTTATATTTATGCTGCTAATAGACACATATCACTTTAATACACTGCTTTTGTGTCGCAGAGAAAATGCATCTCGTGTGTGCTTTGTAACTCCTGCTGGAGCACATCAGCTGCAGGCGTCGTAGCGGTTCCCCTCCCAGGGTGGTGGTAATTAGTGTAACTTCATCTAATCTTAGTGTTACCTAGAGATTTCAAAAGCTGTGATTACTTGTAGAAGAAATTGAGTCCGTAAGCATGACAGAAAGAACAAGGCAGCTCCTTGGGTGTCCTGAGTTCTTGCTTGTAGTCACGTTTGCCATTACCAGAATGTTCTTGTGAAGTATTTAGAGTAGTTAAAAGCTGAGACCCCGTTCTTGCTGTTGTGATGCTTAACTGGATGTGACTCTGCAACAGGTCTCTAATAGTTAAAATTGGGCCTCTAAGGGCATGTTTTGCTCTGGAGATATATCCAGTGCTATTCTAAATGCACTCTAAATGCTTTTCTCTTTTTTTTTTAAAATGTGTTTTTCAGGATCATGACCTAAGAGAAGGACGTGCTGTCCTCTGTCTTTTGGGGGGAGGGAGTTTCACTTAAGTTCCTACAAGCTCTGGTTTTGTCACCTAAGTTCCTACAGGATGCAAATACAAGCACTGGCATTTGTTTTCTCTAGCTTAGAGGTAAATAATCAGAATTTTTGTCTGATCTAAGCTGTGATTGGTTTTGCCCTTGAAGAGCTGACCTTCCTTTGCTCGGAAAGGGTTGATGTTCATACTTCTCATCAAACAAGACAGACTGAAAATGGCTCAAATGCTGTTTTGTCCTAGGCCTCGTGTCAGTTCTCAGTCCCAGCAGAGAGATGTGTGATTTTTTTGGCCTGTGCTTGTTCTCAGAACCAGGGGTAACCACTGTGTTTCCCCTTGTGTTACGTCTTATGCTAAGATTGGTTGAGTGATCTATTTTTAAGGGAGTTTCTCCTGAACTGAGCTTTCAAAAAGACTATTAAAAATTCTTGTACCTGACAGGCATCAGTGGCTTAAAGATACTACTGTGATTCATGACACTGCAGTTAAAATATTTAATACTTAAGTCGTAAAGCATATGCCTTTAGAGTTAATGTTACAGTCCTGCTGCTGAAAACAATAGTACTCTGCGTATTTAACTGAGCCTTGGGGCAGAGAAAACACTTAATAAATAATTGCTTGTACATCTCTGATTGGCAGATTGGAGAAACATCTCCTGTTACAGGGGCTGGAGAACAAAATAGCTGATCATACAAGAAGACTTTAAGTGGAACACTATCAGGGTCCTGCTGTTCTATCAGTTTGATTTACCTTAGAACTGGTGTGTTGGGGTGAAGTTCTGGGAACTTTTCTTTTAAAACCAGGGAGTCTGGCTCGTGGGGCTACTGTAGGGGCCCTCTCTGTAGCCCTGGACAGCCTGTGAATGGGTCCGTGGCTCATTTGTGTGGGTTTAAGAGCTTAGTACAGCCATTCTCATCCCAGGTCAGTACCTGCTCTACACTATTTATCAAAAATCATATTACCATAAAATATATTGTGCGTGCTCATCTTTGCATCTTGCTACCAGAGGATTCCCATCATTCCAGAACAAACATCGACCTTAATATTGAGGTTTTTGTCGCTTTATGTTGTGTAATGTTGTGTAAATGAATTATTTCATATTTAACTTGTTCCTGATCCTTTCTTTAAGAGGAGGGGAAAATGGTCCTTAGTGCCTTTCACTGACTGACACTGTCTGCACATGTCCAGCTTTCACCTTCCTCGACAGTTCTGCTTCCCCAGCCCTGTGTACAGGAAAAACTGCCGACAGTTCTGCTTCCCCAGCCCTGTGTACAAATCCTTGTTTGTATAATTTCTCTTCCTATTTATTGATTTTCTAACTGTTGATTTCTGATTATTCTTTCTTTTATGATTAAACTTATATTCATTACACTGTATATATCAGTATTGTGTCCCTGGAGCATGTTCATACCATGAAATAAAATTCTTGATTCCTAGTTCCACCTTTCTGCATAGTTTTTTTTTTTCCAAATAACTTTATACTACAGTTGAGTCAGAAAATAGTTGGTCTAGCTCTTTGATACACAGCATTTTCTGGAGAAGCCCCAGGGCAGTGGGCAACAAGCTCTTGTGGAAGAAGTGGGACAAGAGGATGTTTTTCAAGGCTCCAGAGGAGATCAGTGGGTTGAGGCCAGGATGTGGATGAGATGTGCCCCAAGGAGCTGGTGAGCCCCTTGTTCAAGCCCATCCTCTGCTGGGGTTGTCTCCAACTGGGGGAAGAGGGGCTTTAACTGTCCTTGTGCTACATGGGGAAGCGTGTCCCACCCTGTATTCCTGCAGATGGTGTGAATTTACCTGCATTAATTGGGAAGGCTTTGTTTCCTTTGCTGGGTAAACCCTGTTGTGTTGGAAGAGGTCTCAGGCTGCTCGTGCAGTAGGTGAGGGTGGTTGTTTTTGTGGTCTCTTCCCTCTGCAGCTCTCCCCGGGGCCTGTGACTCAGCTGATGCACCAACCAAACCCTGCCTGGTCCTGGGACTTTCCAAAGCCCCCTCCCACGCCGTGCCACAGTGGGTTGCAGAACAATAGACACCTAAATTACCTGCAGGACTCCAGTCCCCTGCTGCAGGAGGGACTTTAACCTGCCCCTGGCTCTGCCCCGGGCTGGAGTCACCCCCTCGAGGGGGTGGTTGTGTTCCCTCTCGCTATTCCTTTTGCTGCTGCTTCTGCTGGGGCATCTTTACTCCTGGCCCACAAAGGGCTGGGCCGTGTATAAATGGCAGATGTATAAATATATGGTTGTAATAAAAATATAAGGGTACAAATATATGGTTATAATATAAATGTGGGCTATATATAGACTATAAAGTGAGGGGAGAAGAAAGGGCCTGCTTAGCAAAGGGCTTGGTATCCCCCTTTTCAGCTCTAGCACACACTTTTGAGCTCACAGCTCAGAAGCAGCCTGTGTTTGTGGCCGGTCTTCTCCCCCTGCTTCTCTGCAGCTTTTCCTCTGCTCAGACCCCTTTTCCCCGTGTCAGGACAAGCCTTAACCCCACAGCAGGACAAATCCTTGCTTTCAGCAGCTCTTGCCAGCACCACCCTTGCACCAGTGGACTCTCTTCACTGTAGCACCACATATTTCTTGCAACTTACATGGTGAAGTAGCCAGAGTGACTTCTGCCTTCATGGTTTTAAAGCCCTGATTCCACCAGGAACGTGTCTCTGGAGTCAGCACTGCCCCTCTGTGCCCTGGTTTCCAGCCTGCTCAAGTCCCTTCTTGATAAAGGTGGGTAGAAAATACCCATCCTCTCCTCCCTGCCCTTTCCCTCCGTTGCCATCAGCCTGGTCCCTGTTGCTCCCAGCCCTGGTGCTGTGTCCCAGCCCCGGTGTCCTCTTCTCCCTGGGGCCTGGGAGGGTCTCTCAGCCCAGCCCCCTGAGCCCTGCCTGGCACCATCGAGTTTTCAAACACCCTCCTGATGCTCCACAGTTGATTTAGTCCAAAAATACATTTATTTAAAGAATTATTATAAATTTATTTAAAGAATTATTATAAATTTATTTTAAGAATTATTATAAAGAATTGTTATAAATAATCTTTTTTAAAATACAGTGTTACAATAGTTTAAAAACAAATAAAAATATATTTTTTTTTTTTTTTCCTCTTCAAACTCTACTCTTTTGCTAATTGCTGGAGGAGCCTGTGTAAGTCCTGGAGGAAGTGCTTGAGGGAGGTAGTGTTACCCGCGGCCACGGGGCATGGGACCTGGGAGGGGGACAAAAAGGGCTGTTAGGAGGGAGGGATGGGGCTCTGCAGCCCCATCCTGGCTCCTGGGCCGGGAGGGGATGGGGAGAAAGGCAAAAATGAGCACGGTGGAGGTGGTGTGGGGTGATGCTGTACCTTGTGGACTGAGCTTCTCGTCTGGACCAGGTGGAGCAGGTTGAGGTGGATGCCCTCCAGCTGCTTGTGGCAGCTCCGGCCCTCCAAGGCCACCGTGCTGGCTTTGCATAACAGCTCTGTGGCGTTGTCTTGCTCCAGAAAGAAACCCTTTCATAGGTTAAGACAGATAAAAACAGCATAAATAATACATTTCTGTTCTAAATGCTCCATTCCCGGCCAGGAGCGTGGTCCTGAGATGGTCTGGCAGAGTTTGTCACAGCGTTAGGCACCTGGGTGTTTGGAGCATCCTGGTGTGGATGTGGGACCCTGCTCCCTGAGGGGTCCCAGGGGAACGGAGAGGGTTTGGGTGGGCAGGGGCTGCACAGAATGACAAAAGCCCCCTTGAAGAGGTGTCTCCCTCAGGTGCTTTGAGTAGATAAAGCTCTGTAGCAGCGATGTGCAGAAGATGAGGAGCTAATAAGTGAAGTGCTGGCAGTGATAGGAAAAATATCCAACTGTCCTCCCTGGGGGACATTCCTCATGGTGCCACACTGGTCCAGTGCAGGCAGGATACTGGGATGGTCCTAGGGGACCATCAAATGAGCCCCCCTCCCATCCCCATGACCGCAGCTGGGTCTGCAGGCACTGGGTTGTGGCTGTTGTCCCTCCCAGGGCTGGTCCCTGTGCTAGAAGGGGGGTGCTTGGACCCCCCCAGGGATGCTCAACCCCCCCAGGGAGGCTGCTGTGCCCCTCGGCTGCCCCAGCAGCGTGGGGCAAGGGCAGCAGCTTTCTGTGAAAACAGGAACTCCGGTGCTGGGGCGCTGGGCTTAGGCAGCGATTTTCAGAGCAGAAATGGGCTTTATTATCTGCTATTAGATCTGCTGCGAGCTGAAGAGCTTTCCCCCAGAAACGGGGCTAAAGAGGGATCGTGTGTCACACCCCAGGGAGATGCTGTGTGATAGGTGTGCGTGTGGGTGTCTGCGAGACGGTGACACACCGCTCCAAGGCAAAGGGACAAGTCCCTCTCCTCCTTTCTGAAAAGCTCCACGACCCCTCTAACCCTGCTCCAGCACACCCTGTCCTCCCCTCCGGCCTCCCCCTCACCCGGGGGGTGGCCGGGAGCCCCTGATGCTGCTCTGCCTGGAGGTATCTCAGGAGGGTGATGGACCAGGACCAGCCCAGCACCACCAGCATCCCCGCTCGGGGCTCACCAGGAGCTCCTGGGATGGGCAGGACTCCTAGAGCTCCACACCTTCCTCCAGGCTGTCCCCTGCTCTCCTCTGGCCCCCACATCCTCTCCCAGTGCCCGCCCTGCCCGTAGGACCATTTCCCAACAAGGACCAAGATAGTCTTTATCATCTCTCTTACCTTATTGCCTGCAAAAATATCCGTCACGTTCATCTCGGCGCAGGAAACCTTTATGGAGACACAAAGGAGAGGAGCCATCAGAACAGGCTGACGGGGATCCATCCTAATGTGTGCACCCATCCATCCGTCTGTCTGTCTGTCTGTCCATCCCTCCTCCTGCTCTCAGCCCCCAGGAGCCTGATGAACCCCAGGCTCTGCCTCCCCGCTGCTCGCTCAGCACCTTTCTTTGACTCAGCATCGCTCTCCCCCAGCCCCGGCGAAACCTCCTGTCCCTCCCATCGGCGGGGGAAGGCTGAGGTGTGGAACCAGCCCTACCTCCGTGCCCAGGAGCTTGCCCAGCAGCTGGATGCTCTCCTTCAGGAAGGTGGAGGTGGGGGGCAGCGAGGCCGAGTGGCCCCGGCAGGCTGACAGCGCCAGGAAGGTGAGCAGGACCTGGACCGGGACGCTCATGGCCTGTTTGGGACCCAACACCACCTGGGCTCGCAGATTCTGGATATTTTGGTGATCTATACCTGTGTGTGCTTTTCTGGAAGAACCATCTCAATTTATGGCTGTGAAATTGCTGAACCCGCAGGAAAAACTGATTTTTCCCTTATCTGCACTTTCCAAAGTTGCTCCTATCCAATTAGGACAACAGGTCTTTTTTTTTTGTAAAAGTCATTATTTTCTTCTGATCTCGCGTTACGTTTCAACGTAGGAAATTTCCACCCTAAGATAAGGGTGGTAAGAGACAGGTCACACAGCAAGGAAAGTGGGGGAACTGCCCGCTTTGGGGATTCTGCGATTCTCCGTATCCCAAGACTTTCTCTGCCGCGTGTGGTGAGCGCGGAGCCCCCGGATCTGATTGTGCTCAAATGACGGAGCTTGCCTTTTTTTTTTTTTTTTTTTTTTTTTTTTTTTTTTTTTTTTTCTTTCTTTTTTTGACAAGAACAGCATTGTATTATGGGGCTTGCTCAAGTTTGGGGTTAGTTTCCTATAAGTTTTAAGGGAAAAAAAATCCCCACAGAGCTTGTTTTTCTTTTTTTTTTTTTTTTCTTTGCTTTTTTTTTTTTTCTCTTTCTCTCTATCTGTCCTGCCAGCTCTTCCATCTTGCCTTTCGTTTGATTATCTCCAAATCATGCAAAGCATCTTTCATCTGCATACTATTGTCTATCTATGGTGATCTCAACCTGCGCCGGGGAGAAACAGAAAGCGCGGCAGAGCCTGGGCCCCCGGGGACAAACCCCCCCAGGCAGCAGTGGGGCATCACCCCTCCTGGGGCTGGGGGGTTTATGGAGAGATGGGCACCCTCCTGGCCAAACGGGACCCCCAGAGCAACGTGTTCCTGCCCCGTGGCACCCTGCGGGGATGTGGGTGAGGGACAGGGAGCTGATGGCCCTGCTGTGGTGGTGCTGGGAGCGTGGGGAAATGGGGTTTTGTGACTTTGCTCCAGCAGAAGGAATCTTGGGGAGTTGGCTCAGGGATGATGGACTCGGGGATGACCTTGGTGATGGTGGGCTCAGGGATGATGGGGATCAGGGATGGGATCAGGGATGATGGGCTCTGGGATGGTCTTGGTGATGGTGGGCTCAGATAAGAGCTCTGGGATGACGGTCTCTGAGATGATGGACTGTGGGATGGTCTCAGGGATGATGGTCTCTGAGATGGTGGTCTCTGGGTTGGTCTCCGTGATGGTGGGCTCAGGTAAGAGATCAGGGATGATTGTCTCTGGGTTGGTCTCGGTGATGGTGGGCTCAGGGACGATGGGCTCAGGGACGATGGTGTCTGGGTTGGTCTCAGGGATGATGGGCTCAGGTAAGAACTCAGTGATGATGGTCTCTGGGTTGGTCTTGGTGATGGTGGGCTCAGGGATGATGAGGGGCTCAGTGATGATGGGCTCTGCTGGCACCACCGACCAGCGCTGCCGCAGGAAATCACACTGAGAAATCCGCTGAGCTGGGAAACTTCGGAGTTTTGTAATAACTAATAGGTATTTTTCTCACTCAAACAGCAACTTGCCATCAGATGCTTGATAAGAGTTTGCGAGCGCTCGATTAATCCGGGAGCAGCCAGACTGAGAGTAGCTTTGTTTGTCTGATTACGAAATGCCCCAGATGAAGGTAAGTGCCACTGACTCAGAAAGACCTTTGCGAGGGATTTGCCAGCAGAGCGCTGCGCCGTTTCCTACCTGCACCGTGCGCGATGGAGACCTGATAAGCTCCTGCTCCGGGACTCTGCTGGCACCGTGGCCTCTGCTGACGGTGGCCGTGGGGGCGGGCTCCTCCCCGGGATGCCCGTGGCCACCCCCTGAGTCTGGGATGGATGGTGGTGGGAGGTTCCCTGCCTGAAGGTGATGCTGGAGAAGGGGATGGAGGTGGTGGTGGTGCCATCCCGCAGCCCCAGTGGTTTCCCCCGGTGAGCGGGGTGGAAAGCTCTCGAGCTGGAGTAAGGGAACAGAAAACGCTAAATTAACAGAAAAATGTAACCTCTGAGCTGCTCAGGCTGAATCACGGTGGAAAACTGCATCACTGGGTGATGGGAAGGTGACCGGTGAAGGAAGGAATTCCCGTGTCCTCTCCCGAGGGTGGGATGAGGCTGATGGCAGTGATGGCCCCACTGCTCACCGGGGGGACAGCTCCGACCCCAGCACGGTCCCCATCTCTGCCCGTGTGGGGCAGGAGGGTCATTTCTAGAACCTTGGCAGCACCTTCATCCCATCCATCCTTCAGGGGATGAACCCGTTGCCCTTTGCCCTGCTGAAGGAAGGTGCTTGACTCAGAAATGTGGCCTCAAATTTCCCCTCTGCCGTTCTGCCCCTTGTGCTCTGTGCTTTGAAGCATCTCCCCATCACACGAGGATCCTGCCCGGGCTCCAGCCCCGGTGTCCCTGCAGCCACTGAGCCCAGGGCTCTGCTGAAAGCCACGGCCCCTGGCTCAGCTTTTATAGAATCGTCTAGGTTGGAAGGGACCTTAAAGATCATCTAGTCCAACCATCAACCTAACCCCAATTTTATCTTGGCCCAAACCAGAGCGATTCCAGAACAGACACTGAGAAAGAGCCAGGAGCCAACAGGTCTGGGTGGTCCTGCTTCAGCAGGGGAGTTGGACTAGATGATCTCTATGGTCCTTTCCAACTCTAAAAATTCAGTGAAATTCAGTGAAATTCAGGAGGTTTTTCTGGGCACCGTGCACTGCCCCGGGGGGATTTTGGCTGGCAGCAGCAGGGATGTGCTTCAGTTTCACACCTTTCTGGTCCCTGCCGTGTCTCCTGCTGGCCGGAGCAATGCTGGGGTTTATTCAGAGCAGATCCAAAGGCTGCAGTTAACCCCCCATCGCATGCATTATAGCCATTTCCTGCATTTCTAGTGATTTCCTCTATTTCTAGCCATTTCCAGCAGCTGGGTTGCCCATTTTTTTTCCCTACACGTGTCCCCACTGCTGGCACCCGAGTGGGCACACGAGCCAGCCCCATCCCTTCCCTCCACCACGAGCTGAGGGTCCCTCCCCTGCAGCACCACTCTCAGCCCTGCTGCCCCTGCCCCCCACACCTCGGTTGTGCCCCAAAATGCACCCCTTTATCCCAGCCCCGTGCACAGGAGCCTCTTCCCAAGCGCTGCCTCCCCTCCCTCCTCCTCCAGCCCTTCCCTTCACCCCGTGTTTTCCTGCCCCACAAGCTGGGTAGGTTCATTGGTGCCTTTTCCTTGCTTGAAAAATGTGCTCTTTGGTGGCAGCCCGGGTAGATTTGCTGTATATTGCTCCCAAAAAGCCATCCTTCCCCATCCCCCTCCTCTGTGCCAACTGAATGAGGAGCCAGCACCCCCTGACCCCTTCGTTAACTGCTGAAGGTGGGAGGTGAATCCACAGCACAAACCATTGGCACCAAGAGCTCGTTATTCAGTAGTTTTATTGCTTAAGCCCTGAGACACTTTTATAACATCAGTGCAAAGTTGAAATAATGAAAAAAAAATAATACATTAAATTGAAGACATCCAAATACATGGTAAATTGAATATATTAACTCTGTTGTAATACAAATACTTTAAATAGAGGGAAGAACAATAAATTACGAATCAGCACATGTTCATTTGTTGTCATGGAAAGGCAATTAGGCAATAATAGTTCCCTAAGAGTGAGGTAGCAGTATTTTAAATATGACTGTATTCAACAGAACTACTCTTATATAAGTTAAAAATAAAACACCTATTCTAAATACTGGTTTTTCCTTTTTGGTTTGGGTCCCAAGCGAAGAAAAGCTTTCAACAGCTGGGGCCTTGCGGTCTTGAATCTTTAGATTACGCAGTATAAAAATAAGTTATTTAAATAAAATATAATAATAAATAAACTCTAGAAGAACGATGCCAACGAGCACCCATTAGATCCAAAGTTTTCCTATAGACTCTCCTGGTCTTCAACTATTAATAACTTAAAAGCCCACCGACAATATCAAAGGCACAGTGAAGGTTACGGTAGCAGTCCCCCGATCCCCCGCCCCTGGGTCCCCCCCACCTCTCCCTCTGCATTTCCCCAGCTCTGCTCCCACCAGGCACCCGCGGGGACTCGTCCCCCTGAGCTGCTGTAGTATCTTGTTAGTGAAAAATGCATCATTTCAGCCTAGATTCTGATCTCTTTAGGACGAGGAGACAATTATGAAGAAGCCTCCCTTCATTCAGAGGAACAGGAAGCAGATAATTTGGTTTTGGTTTTGGTAGGTGCTGCAGGAGGAGGTGAACGAGTTAAAAGCTCAACCTCCTCTGCTGCCAGGACCAGGGGTGATGCTCTGCTCCTCCCGGACGGGCAAATCCTCCCAACAGCCCCTTCCTGGGGGGTCCCAGCCAATCCCAAGGGATTGCATCCATCCATCCTGAGGGGCTGGATCCTTCTTGGTGGGTTGGATCCTTCCTGCCAATCCCAAGGGATTGCATCCATCCATCCCGAGGGGCTGGATCCTTCCTGGTGAGTTGGATCCTTCCCGAGGGGTTGGATCCATCCCTCCCGAGGGGGGTTGCATCCCTCCCAAGGGGTTCCATCCCTCCTGAGAGGTTGGATCCATCCCTCCCAAGGTGGATTCCATCCCTCCCGAGGGGTTGGATCCTTCCTGAGGAGTCACATCCATCCCTCCTGAGGGGGTTGGATCCCTCCCAAGGGGTCACATCCCGCCTCGTGCCGGCTGGAAGAGCCACAGGGCTGCGAGGGAGCACCAAGGGCAGCCTTGTCCAGAGGAGACTTCTCCTGTGGAGGCTGAGCAATGTCTAACGCACGGCACTTGGATGGAAAGCTTGGGAGATGCCAGGCACCGGTGGGAAGGGGACATTTCCCGTGGCAGGGACCTGCTGTTGGGATTGTGTTGGGTCAGGGAGGGCTGGGGCAGAGCTGAGGAAGTGCATGCGACGAGGAGCAAAACAAAACAAAACAAAACAAAAAAATCCCTACGAAACCTATTTTAAGAGCTCCCAGCGGACATTTCCCGTGGCA